AAACACACTTCTTTCTAATGAAGCTGACATCAGAGCTCACTGGAGAGAAATCTGGGCAGGTCAGCCCAGAATCAGTAGATGCAGATGTTACTTTCAAGGACCAGCTTCAGGGCTAAACCCTCACCACCAGCCCACACCTGTATCCGTCCCGTCTATGCCAGACAACTATATCTGGAACAGAAACATTTAGCTCCATTTAATATCCTGTGCTTTCTCCTATACAAAACATAGCTTCAACGCTTACACACACAATGTGTGTTGTACCGTCCCACACCAGCCGGAGAGAATGCATTTAGGACGGCAATGAATATCAGCAGATGGACAACAACCACCAGTTAACTGCCTCGACTTGCGTTTAACATAGAACAACATCCAGGAACAACTCCAATTCCCAGCTAGATAATACAAAAAAGCAGCAGTTCTGGCTCTGAACTGCTTTTAACTGACCTGGATCTCATGAAGGCAAGGGAAAAACTCCCGTTGGAGCTTTTAACCCTCAGACAGGCTAATTCCAGTTGATTGTTCCCATTTTCTTTAGTTATGCAAACAAGCACCAAGCCCTACACTTAAGCTCTCATAAATAATATTCCTCTATCCCCAAAAAGATCCAGGTGAGAGTTTTAGTTTTGTGATCCTTATCCTTTCGTAAGAAAAACAAGTAAGTAGAAATTCATGAGCATTTCTTCCCTGTAAATACCAGTACAGCTTATTGTAATTAAACCCAAGGTCTTTTGAAACAGCCTGAAATCTTAAGCAGAGGTGGGGGAGCCCAGATGGAAGAAAAGGGTAAACTCATTCTGACACAAGTTTCTCTCAGCATCTTGGGAAATGAACTCAGACACCCAAAGGACCCAAGAGTCAAGCTCTTCTCCTGGCAGGCTGGCCAGGTTTGCATGCGTCTTTTATGGGAGGGAGAAGTCAAACACAGTCCGATGACAGATCCTTTGAAAACCTGCATTTCCCCTCCTCCCTACAACCTCTTAATTCTGCTTCAGGGCTAAGAGTGAAGCATTTAGTCAGAAGATGGATACATAGACATAGAGAGACACAGAGGGGGAGGCTTTTCTAAATGCTACCTTGGTGAGCCCAAAATGCTTTGTTTGAAATGGCTCTGCCTGAATGACCTTTGGAGAAGCCTGAGGCTCGAAGCCCATGACAGCTGCCCCGACAGACAGGAACATCAGATTTCCCCAGCAGCTGTAGGGCCTGGGGAGCTTCTGGATTCCTGGAAATACTGACAAGTTTTAAATTCTGGCCAGTTTTGACCACAGCCGAATTTCAAAATTCCTGCAAACTGGAAGCCTTTGCTTTTAGCTTCCTCAGGTCTGAATTTCTAGAGGCATAACAGGGGTTGCAGTATCACCCATTCCTGTCAAGTCCAAATACTGATATAGTACGAATTAGCCCTTCTCAGAATTGTGAGATTACCTTCAAATCACGACACTTAAATTAACAGATGTTCTTTCTTCTCACCTTCTGGTTTGCAGAACTCTGATGTGCCAGTGATAATTTTTGCAATACCAGTGTGAAAACTTTTAACTTTCTCTTAAAAAAACGAAGAAAAACTGAAGTTCCTGAGCAGTAGCCTTGTGATACTGCCAGCGTTGCAAAACTTGTGGATAAAACCAGCTGAATCACCATGCTACTTGCTTCTAGATCTGACTTTTTAGAGCTACAGCTCTATGGCCAGTAGCATAAAGGACCAGCCCTGAAGATGCAGGCACTATGGGGCAGCCGGCGGGAAGAACACAGCTACAAGGAGCAAAAGAACTGCAGAGCTCGCCGTGAAGGTGGCCCTCAATCAGGGGCCTCAGCAGAGGTAGGGAGAAGCCAGGGAAGTAGAGTCTTGGTTCCTCCTAAGAAAGAAGGTGGCAAAACCAAGAAAGGACTAAGGAATTCCAGTCCAACTGAAGACAGACCTGGACTTTTCAAAGTTTTTATCTTCCCTAGCAGGGCAAAACTCCCCCAGAGGAAGTCAGATTCTGGAAGCCCCCAACCCATCTGCAAATACCTAATGCAGTAACCAGCAACTTTTGCGCGTTTCCCCAGAGTTTTTGGGAAATGAATACTTTCAGGAAACTGTCATTTCTTCTGCAAATTTATGTGCAACAGGAGCCCACAACGACGGGACTGCCAGTCCTTTCACACAGCTCTAACGCCAAGACTTGCCAAATGTTGTACTGTAAAGAGTTCTCTGCATTCCTGGGATTTGCCATCAGCCCAGTCGGATGTTTAAGAACATGGCAGTGGGACACAGCTATCAGAGAGCTGCTTCACTGGTGTCACAGGGCTACATGGGTCCACCACCAGCTCTGGCAGGTCCAGACAGCAGGTTTGCTGACTTGCCTCTCTGTTAATTTGTCTTCATCTCTTTTTTCCATCTCCTTTTCATCTCTTCAGGTGAGCAGATCCAGTGAAAAGCTGGAGTTTCTCTGGAGCAGCAACAGCCCTGAAGCAGCAGAGTTGTAACTGTAAACCTCCGTGCCTCAGGTAGCCGGCTGTGTACTCTCTGCAGTCTTGGCTTAATTATAGCAATGTAACAGACTTTGTCCCCTGCGGTTAAATCTCTGGGCTTGAAAGACCATTCAGGATGTCATGGACATTCCGTGTCCCCACACAGACATAGTTAGAGCCTGATGAGGCAGCAAGGCATGAACCTTGGAAGCATCTTCATTTTAATTAGGAGTACCTTCCTCTAGCCTCTGCCTGCCTGGCTCTAGTTATAGTAAGACCTATATTTGACTGTATGTATTAAAATAAACTGTCTGCTCCATAGCAGCATTACCTCCTTCTCACATACTGTTTACTGACAGGTAGTTTCACTGACAGAGGTTACCCTGATTATTTAGAAAGCGGAAGCCCCAGCAGTTCCCCTCCTGTGCAGTGAGAACACCCAAACTGCTTCTTAGCCTGACTCTTGGACATTCAGCTCCGAAGCCCTGCTGACAGCAGCGTAAAGCAGATCTACATCCCCATCTAGTGGGAAACACACAGCTCTGGCTCTCCAGGACAGAAGCAGCTTCACCTTCGCAGTCAAACATACACACAACTACTACGGACCCCCAGAGCAGCTTTGCTTTTTGAATCAAAGGGGTAGTAACAGCTATGATGAAACCTGAGGGCCCTACTTTTAATCACAAAGCAGAAAGCACTTTCATGAAAAGGCAGGTTAAGCCTACTAAGTTACCAGTATTTTATCCACTCAGTATTAGACACAATTGCAAACATAACTCTTTTGCTTTATACTAGTGTATAACTAGTGTTCTTCCTCTAAAAAAAATGCCACTGCTTCACCCCCACTCAATCCACCTTATCTGAAGAATTTCAGTAGGCTGAAGTCTGACAACTAAAATCTAATTATTGGCCTTTACTAAGCCAGGTATCAGCCCAACTTGCTTAAATTATGCTTTGTATCTATAGCTAGCTACACAAGATTTACAAGTTATGGTAAATACTGTTCCTTTCTTTAAAAAATTATCAACAATATTAGTCAACTCTGTAACTAATATTAAGTCCTTAAAAAGGATTTGCATCAATAGTCTTGCAATGGGAATATTGTGGGCTACATGATACGTTTTGTGCTAATTTAAGCATTCTGAAGTGCTTAGAAGTAAACACTCAAGGATAGAGGCTGGAAACATTAAGTTAGGAAGATGGGTTTCAAAATAAACTGATCACCCCAGTAAATAATTACAGCAAAGATTTTGTTCTGAATTACCACCTAGAAAGTGTAATTCTTTCTGACAGAAGCTTCTATCAGGGCAGGGGAAAATCTGTGATGATGTGTTTACTCATGGTGACCCAGGCTTCTGGTCAGATTTCATTCACCAGCTCTCCAGATTTAGAGGATTTTGCAGACAGCAAGAATATGGACCCTTCAGCTGCCAGCATGATTACCAATACTTACTTTTCTTCATCACTGGTCTCAAACTCTAAGAGGCAAACCAAGGATATTGAGGAATGATGATGTAAGTTTTAAACAAGATTATGAAGCAATCCAGACTTAAGTAGATGAGATGAGATATCTGAGATGAGAACTAGGCCTAGAGAAAAAATATCCCACGGCAGAAAAAAAATAAAAAAACACTTGAAACGTGAAATAAGCCATGTTTGCACAACCTCACTTTCATTCGTAACGGAGGTATCTCACCAGTCACAGCTTTGGTTAGTGACTACGGACTGTTCTTACGGTGGTGGTAGTTTCTCTCCCTGCATCTGCTAATGAAAGGCATTTCTTTCTTTATAAACACTTCTCTCTTTAATCTTACTTGATACTTCAAAACAGCAGCCTAGCAGAATGGTAATGTAAGCCTATTCCTTGTTTCCCCGAGCATCCATCCTGAACTTAAAGGACCATACTGAGAAAGCTCAAAGAAAACTTATGCACAAGGTACTATGTATGTGCAGCAGCGCCCCGTCTGAAACATGCGCAACAAAATTAGCAAAAAAATCAACACATCAACCATTTCTTGTATTTTTTCAAGACCTTTTGGGCATGTTCCTTTACACCAGACGGTACCTCATTCCCACCTCAAGCATATAGTTTAACTTGTTGTAACTGCTTCAGGAACACAGATATGCAGAGACAATTTATACTTGATATATGCCTGTAAACACTCTTTAGACTAAAGGATGTTTTAGGATCGGCTTGAACAGCTAGTATGAAATGAGCATCACATGCTGTCATTCAGTTCCTATATGAACAATGTAGCCTGACTCTACTGTAATCTCTTGCCCAAGGTAACACTCCAACAGCTAGTGCATCAGTGCAATACATGAAGATCTCAAGTAAGAGATCCAGGAATGGGTAGGGATGACTGAAGACAGTCAAGTCAGGCAGGCACAACAATGCCTATTTCCCCTTTCATCTATCTTTTTAATCTGTAACAAAGCTCCATAGCCTGTAATACAACAAATCACAAAAGGCGTTTCTCTTCTCCAATCATTTTTAAATGAAATAACTGGACCAGCTATTACTAAAAATTAATCGCTTACAGACAGTTATAGAAGATTCTTCTTTTGAGCTTTATTTGTTCATAGCAACGTTAGTACATGTTTCCACTTAGGTATTTCAGTGCAACAAGGAAATCCATTACCTCATAAGCTTCAGCAAGGTGACCTATGTTTCTATATGCAATGGCAACAATTGTTTAAAGTGTCTCCCTTTGTTGCACAACAGTTTAAAGCTTCAAAAATCTAAGTAAATACCTCTCACGGAATTGAACAAGCAGACACTTCGCTTGATTATGAAATGCTTTTGTTGGATGAGCTAAGTGTTTTCTGCAGTAGAGCGACTCATTTGTAAGCCACAGGCACTACTATGAGAGTGGTATCAGAGTAGAAGTGGTGACATTTTAGTAGTCTGTGCAAGAATGCCACTCTACTTTTTGCAAGTTGCGTATCTCGAAGATACATCCTCCCAGTTGATCACATTCCAGATGGCTTTCAAATAATCAGGTCGAACATTTTTATACTGAAGATAGTAAGCATGTTCCCATACGTCGATTCCTAGCAAAGGAATAAGACCTGTGGAAAAAAAACACACAGGATAAATCTCGTAAATCTATGAAAGTATGCTTTACATGTAAAGTTTTATATTGCATCCCCACATCGTACCCAATTTCTGAGTCTTTACCTGCAGGAAGACAAAGAGCTCTCCAGCACACAGGTACTTATTGCAACATTCTACAGAACTGTTTGCTCTCCACACACACGTATTGCATCAACTGGAAGAGTTGATTAAGATAAACACCTATGAATACTCCAGAACTGCCTTGAAGGCATAACTGAAACCAGATAAAGTAATTTTTTAGAGATTTACATCTTTTGCACAGTCATGCAAGCATTTTCATGAAAAGTTACACCATGAAGGAGTCTCTTGCAATACCAGTTGTCTTCCAGTATTTTAATTACAACTTATTCATGAAGTGTCTAATTACCTTCCTTGCTTTTTGCTAAAATAGCCTTCTCGCTGAATTTTTAATGGGGAGTTTTCGGGGGGCGGGGGGCGGGGGGGGGCCG